GTAATTTATGACCGGGCTCCTTTATCTATCTTTAGCTACAATTCCGGCCGAAATTGTATGAGGAAAATGCTATTACCTTTCTATCTAATCACCATCTTATTGCTTCATCTTGTTTATACCAATTATATTTCAAGGAAAATATGTAAATTGAACTCTCTTCTTTTTCGCACTCATTCTGTCTGCCCATTCAACTTGTTCCCTGTTTATTTTAGACTATGCGATTCGCATAGCAGTATGATATTTGAAAATCTGGAATACTTATTGTTTTACTCCTTAATTCCAATGGAAATAGTTATTTAGGGAAGAATATCCGCATAGCATTTTTTCATCAGATGCTTCTATATGCTGACTTTGTATCATACTTATTTGCTTGCATTTAACTTTTAAATGAATTATTTTGATAGGCAGTCAGCATGTTCGATATGATAAGACCAGATGACCGCATTCTAGTCTGTCTTTCCGGTGGGAAAGACAGTCTTTCACTACTACATTGCCTTGGGCAATATCGTTGCTTGATGTCTCATGGTTTCCGCGCTGGTGACCGAATCGCTCGGCTTCATCGTCTCGAAGCGGACAAGCACTCCCAAAATTCCACTCACATTTCCAGTTCTTCATGTGAAGCCCGCATTAGTGTCCCCACTTTTCTGTCCATACAACCCGAACATTCTGAAAAAGCGTCTTCTCTTTCGGATGACTTTTCGTCAGAAAATCATGAATCAAAACAAGTTAATTATAAAACACGACCTAAGGAGCAGAAGCTGAAAAATTCCAAACAATCTCATCAGACCTTTAGCCTTGGAGCCGTTACTGTGGATCCTGGCACTTCATCATACAATCCACGCCCTCTCATTCCTTATCTCGCCGAACTAGGTGTACCCTACTTTTATGAGGAACAAGGCAAGTAATGGCTAATATTTCCTCGATTGCTTGAAATCGTTCCGACGCATGCTATGCTGATCTTATTTGTTTTGCTTTCTGCCTAATGAGGCTTCAATTTATGTGGTGGCATCAAACCTTTATTTTACACATGGACACCATGGCTTTTCGTTTTTCAACAGTTTTACTTCCTTGGGTGGACTTAAAACTTTTCCTAATTATTCCATCATAAATTCGCCAGCATTGATAAAGACACCTAAGTACAACTTTTTGTTTGACTCTCAAATCTACTTCTTAAGTCTGATAGATAGTATATTAATGTTACTTTGGATTTTTAAAATTTATTTCCGAATAATTCCGAACACCTCAAAATAGGTATCCTATTTCATTTACGCGGTACCTAAAATAAACTGCTAAAATGTCTAACTTAAGTATATATGTTTAAAGTTGACCTTATTCTATACAGGTCTCAAATAATCTTGTGATTTAACTGTTAGGCATACGATACAGAGGCTCTGATCTGATGCTGATTAATTAGTTAAAAATCATAAGTATTCTGGTGTTGGGCTCTGGT